CTTCCTTCCTTCCTTCCTTCCTTCCTTCCTTCCTTCCTTCCTTCCTTCCTTCCTTCCTTAAAAAGAGGTGCCAGAACTCTCAGGAGGGAAATGAAGTTTTCAATCTGTGTACTGAAAACTCATGAACTTTTAAACATTTTAAAAAAGAATTTGGTCAAAGAGGTTCCGGACGTGGGCACACTCTCGAGTAAATGGGAACCTTTCCAGCTGCGAGGTCCATCAGTGGCTATTAGCCACAAGGTATAGATAGGGGCTCTGGGGCAAGTGATGCTCTGTCTTCTTGGTGCTTGGGGGGGGGTCAACAGTGGGAGGGCTTCTAATGTCCTGGCCCCACTGGTGGACCTCCTGATGGCACCTGGTATTTCTGGCCACTGTGTGATACAGAGTGTTGGGCTGGATGGGCCTTTGGCCTGATCCAACATTGGCTATAACTTGTCTTAAACGACTAGTAAGTTTATTAACATTGGCGTCTCTTATGTTCTTATGTTATGTCTTTTACTTAAATAGCATGCCGTTTTCACAAGTGATGCCTCATAGAATCCTAGAATCACAGAGTTGGAAGGGGTCTCACAGGCCATCTAGTCCAGCCCCTGCTCAATGCAGGATCATCCTAGAGCATCCCTGACGAGGGTTTGTCCAGCCGCTGCTTAAAGACGGCCAGGGAGGGGGAGCTCACCACCTCTCTAGGCAGCTGATTCCACTGTTGGACAACTCTGACTGTGAAAATTTCCCCCCTAAGATCCAGCCGGTACCTCCCCGCCCTTATTTTAAACCCATTCTTGTGAGTCCTCTCCTCTGCTGCCCACAGGAACAGCTCCCTGCCTTCCTTTAAGTGACAGCCCTTCAAACACTTCAGGAGGGCAGTCCTGTCCCCCCTCAACCTCCTCTTCTCCACTCTGAACCTTCCCAAGTCCCTCAGCGTTTCCTCACAGGGCTGGGTCTCCAGGCCCCCGACCATCTTTGCGTCTCTTTGGTCCACTGCATTCCTTCTGGCTGCTGACAAACCACTGAACCTAGAAGCGGTACAGAGCCAGTGCAGACTCCAGTCCATATTCCAACACCCCCCACCCCGGATTCCTTTCCTCCCCATTACGGAACGCTGGACGGTCTCGTCAAATCACAGAATCATAGAGTGGGAAGGGGCCCTACAGACCATCTGGTCCAACCCCCTGCCCAATGCAGGACCAGCCTAAAGCATCTCTGACAAACATGCGTCCAGCCTCTTCTTGAAAGCTGTCAGTGAAGGGGAGCTCACCACCTCCCTAGGCAGCCGATTGCACCTTTGAACCATTCTGGCTGTGAAAAGTTTTTCCTAATATCCAGCCGATACCTTTCTGCATGTAACTTAAACCCGTTGCTTTGGGTCCTCTCCTCTGCTGCCAACTGGAACAGCTCCTTTCCCTCCTCCCAATGACAGCCTTTCAAATATTTAAAGAGAGCAATCATGTCCAGTGTTCCCTCTAAGCTGAGTCAGTGTGAGCTAGCTCACCGTTTTTTAGCCTCCAGCTCACACATTTTTGTCTCAGTTCAGGAAGGATGGTTCCAGAGCAAACTGATTTGTTTAGTAGCCGAATCGCTTGCTCACAACTTTCATGCCAGTAGCTCACAAGGTAGAATTTTTGCTCACAGGACTCCACAGCTTAGAGGCAGCATTGATCATGTCCCCCCCTCAGTCTCTTCCTGTCTTGTGCTGCTTTGGTTTGCATTTTAACATACTGCGTCTGTGCCTGGTTTGCCAGTTGTACGGCTGTGGATAGGAAAGCACTCCAGAGAGTTATCATCACAGCCCAGAAGATTATTGGCTGTCCTCTCCCATTCTTGGAGGAATTGTATAGTTCTCGATGCTTGAAAAGAGCAAAGAACATTTTGCAGGATTTGTCACACCCTGAACACTCCCTGTTTGAACTGCTGCCTTTGGGCAGAAGATATAGGACAATTAAAACAAGGACAAACATTAAAAAACAGTTTTTATTCGAGAGCTATTATTGCTTTAAATGCTGTCTGAAATTGGAATTTGGGTGACATTGGTGGTTTTAAGTTGCAATGTGAACCTTAAGGGAGTTATGGGACGGTTGTGAATGGTTGTGTGAGTGTATATGAGTATGGTTGTAGATCACCGAAATGACTGCATCTTAATTTCGTTGTACTGTGTACAATGACAATAAAGTATATTATTATTATTATCGCAGGGCTTGTACAACTTCAGTTCCTACGTGGCCTTTGTGGCCTTCCGGCACAGGAACCTCAAGGAGATCCAGGAGGAAGTCGGGCGCCTCCTCCGCACGAACATATTCAATCCGGCGCTGAGAGAGAAGTTCAAGGCCGAGCAGGTGATCAAGACGGATGTCACCAAGGAGCTGCCAAAGAGCCCTTTCCTCTATCGCAAGTATGGCTCTGTTCTCTCTATAATACGCAGGCTCTTCTTTAAAGTTACTGATGAATAATACGGCGGTGTTCGATGTCACTTACACGATTCTTGTTCTTCGTTCTCGCTCTGTCTTCTGCTCTGCTCCCCGGCTTGAAAGATAGTTTCCGGTGTGTAGCCGTCTTGGGCTGAAGCTAAAGAGCAACGTTCGAGTCCAGTAGTACCTTAGGCCCTTCCCGCACCCGTATTTAAAAAGCCAGAGAGAGCACAAGAAGGAATCGGGAAAGATAAAGGACTAGGGCAGGAGGTGTCGAACTCATTTGTTACGAGGGTTGGATCTGACACAAATGAGACCTTGCCGGGCCGGGCCGGGCCACGCGTGCCATAAAATGTAATACCAGGTAGCGGAGACATAAACTTTCTAAAGGACACAAACACAAAGGGTGTTTTTTTTTAACTTAAAATAAAAACACGCTTAAAACATTAGCACTCTTGCAATATTTTGTTTATTGAACAGTGTCTGATAACCGCCCTGAGCCTGCCTGGCGGGGAGGGCGGGGTAAAAGTGAAATAAATAAATAAATAAATAAATAACTGACACCTCTTGCTCTGAATGATTGCATCAAAATGTCTGTGCTCTTGCAATCTCGAGTATGCCGTTCAGGTGTATTATCTGTTAGCTGCACACCTACGATGATGCAGCAGCAGCAGAACTGGAAGAAGAAGCGGAAGACAGCCAGTTCCACTGCGGGGCTGATAGAAGCCCTCCGGGGGCCTGATCCGGCCCCCGGGCCGCATGTTTGACACCCCAGACCAGGGGATTCCCTGCTCCCAGATGTGTCAGTCTTTCGTGTGTGGGCCCGGATTTTCCCCTCCCCTCCCTTTCTTTTTGCAGAGTCCCAGAGGGAGGGAGGGGTCGGCAGCCAGTTAGCTCAGAAAAGGCGGGTTTTGCTTGTAGATGCAGAATGCTTAGGGAATACGCAAATGAATAAACCGGAGGGGGGGGGGAACCAGTGCGAAGTCAACTCTTAAGGCTGATTCTCCGGAGCAAGCCGTCAGTGCAGAAAGGGCCTTAGAGACCAAGAAGAAGAAGAAGAGATTGGATTTATACCCCGCCCTTCACTACCCAAGGGAGTCTCAGAGTGGCTTACAAACTCCTTTCCCTCCCCCTCCCCACAACAGGCACCCTGTGAGGCAGGTGGGGCTGAGAGAGCTCTTGACAGAGACTGCTCTTTTTCAAGGACAGCTCTTACCAGAACTATGGCTTGCCCAAGGTCATCCAGCCAGCTGCAAGTGGAGGAGTGGGGGAATCAAACCCGGTTCTCCCAGATTAGAGTCAGCGCACTTAACCACTACACCAAACTGGCTCTCCCAGGGCTTAAGGGTTCGAGAGTCAAAGCTACTATCTGATGAAGTGAGCTTTGATTCTCGAGAGCTTCTATTCTGGAAAGCTTTAAGGGACTACTGGGCTCGGATCTCGCTGTCCCTAAAACCGTGGCACACGGTTGCACGGCCGGTAGATCCCTCCTCATCGGCCTCAGAACTTGCTTACCTCGGGGGTGAGGAAGGCCCAATCTGCATCTAGCATTTGGTCCGCTGTTTTACCAAACCCACATTGGAACAGAGATTCCCCTCTGCGTTCCATGCCCCTTTCACTTTCTTTGATTGTCGGATTTATGGCAGTGTCCAGACTGCATGCCGCTTCCGCTTCCTTCGATCTCTCAGGTTTTATGGAACTGTCTGCATCGATTTATGGCTGGTTTATGGGGTGACTCTGTAGTCAGTACAGCCTTGGTCCGGGGTATTTGAATGTGGTTTTGACACGCATCTTTTTCTGTTCCAGCATGGGTTTGGTAAAACAGCGGCGCAAATGCTAGATGCTGATTGGGCCGAAGACTCGGGTGAAACTGTTTTCTTCTGAAATTGCCCCGTTGTCCTCTGGAAATGCTGCTACAATTCATTCTTAGCTGGGTTTTATAAACAGCGTTTTCGTAAACGTGTCCCCTGCAATTGAAGGCTTTTGGTGGATCAGGGGCTTTTAAAGCGAATATTTAATTTACACGTCAATGTCACTTGAAGTCTGCCCATCCTTGCTAAGACTCAAGATGGATTCTTCACCCAAAGAGTGATTAACACTTGGAATTCACTGCCACAGGAAGTGGTGGCGGCTACAAGCATGGACGGCTTCAAAAGGGAATTGGATAAGCATATGGAGCAGAGGTCCATCAGTGGCTATTAGCCCCAAGGTTTAGATAGGGGCTCTGGGGCAAGTGATGCTCTGTCTTCTTGGTGCTTGGGGGGGTTCTACAGTGGGAGGGCTTCTAATGTCCTGGCCCCACTGGTGGACCTCCTGATGACACCTGGTATTTCTGGCCACTGTGTGACACAGAGTGTTGGGCTGGATGGGCCTTTGGCCTGATCCAACATTGGCGTCTCTTATGTTCTTATGATTTGAACAAAAGACAATGCTGTAAAAACAATATAATAAATACAGCCCACAAAATTAGAGAACGCGGTAATGAAAAAACAAAACAGAACATTATAATGCGGACAGTAAATCAAACAGTACAAGGTGGGGCAATGATGCAGTAGGCTTACCAGTCCCCAGGTCGGGGTGGGGGTTCCTGCCCCCAAACAGGGACGTCCTGGCGTGACAGGATGATGTCAACCGGACGTGATGTCATCACGTTGGGGACACCACAGGGGATGCTCTGGTTTGAGGGCAAAAGTCTGTGGTAAATTTACCTACAAAAAATAGTTTTGCCCGTAAACTAGAGTGTCACCGGCATGATGACATCACTTCTGGGTGACGCCGTCGCATCGGGGACGTTCCGGAACTCCCCCCCCCCAGACCCCTCCACTGGAGTGACGAGGGGACCTGGCAGCCTTATAATGCAATGAAACATTACACGCAACAAAGAGTAATAAAGCTGGATTATAAAATTAGAGAACAATGCAAAAAACAACCCCCTCAACATAATACAGAATCGTAGAATCACAGAGTGGGAAGGGGCCACGCAGGCCACCTAGTCCAACCCCCTGCTCAGTGCAGGATCAGCCTAGAATAGAGCATCCCTGACTAGCGTTCGTCCCGCTGCTGCGTGAAGACTGCCAGGGAGGGGGAGCTCACCACCTCCCGAGGCAGCTTCTTCCAGGGCTGAACTGGAGTATAATGTATAACGAAGACAGCATTAAATTCCATAGACGTACCAACTGCCCCCTGATTCACTTTATAAGGAAGACTCATAGAATCATAGAATTGGAACGGGCCATACAGACCGTCTAGGCCAGGGGTTTCGAACTCATCTGTTACGAGGGCCGGATCTGACATAAATGAGACCTTGTTGGGCAGGGCCCTGTGTGTCATAAAATGTGATGCCAGGTAGCGGAGACATAAACTTTATAAAGGACACAAACACCAAGATGCTTAAAACATTAGCCCTGTAAGCTGCAAACCCGCTTTTGATTTATTGACATTCGCCACAGAAACCTCATGCTCAGAGTTCTGAGTCTAGGACCCAGGTTCGAACATGAAACGGCTGAGTGATTACGAGAGTCTGGCGAAGCCAGCTGTGATGCAGCAGCAGAACTGAAAGCCGGAGATGGCCAGTTCCACTGTGGGCCTGATGGAAGCCCTCTGGGGGCCTGATCTAGCCCCTGGGCTGCCTGTTTGACACCCCTGGTCTAGTCCAACCCCCTGCCCAATGCAGGACCAGCCCAAAGCGTCTCTGACAAATATTCATCCAGCCTCTTCTTGAAAGCTGTCAGTGAAGTAAACGCTTCTGTTTCACATGTTCTGTGGAACGACGGGAGCACGGGAGCCTCCCTGACCTCAGCAGACAGGCCGCTCTACCAGGTGAGAGCCACCACCGGAGAGGTGCATGTGCGGGGCCACTGCGGGATCTTGCCTTTTCGCAGGGCGGCACCTTCGGAAGGCTTGCCTCAGAGGAGTGAAGCCGTCGCAGAAGAGCGTAGCGGGGGAGGCAGCCCTGTGGGGATGTGGGTAGAAGGCCATTGGTGGCTTCGCAGGTGATAACTAGACCCTTGGACCGAACCCAGAAACTAAGCGCTAACCGGTACAGGGAGGGCAGAATAAGTGCACTATGTGTACTTTGTAGCATGCAGAGTAGGTGGAATAAGTGCATGTGCGGTGCTATCAAGTTGCAGCTGTTTTACGGCAGCCGTGTAGGGTTTTCAAGGCACAAGAGGTGCAGAGGTGGTTTGCCGCCGCCTGCCGCCGCACAGCAACGCTGGGTTTCCTCCGTGGTCTCCCATCCAAGGACTGACCAGGGCCGGCCCTGCTTAGCTTCCGAGATCTGACGACATCAGCTTATCCTGGGTCATCCAGGTCAGGGCAGGTGGCATATACACATGCTCATAATAGGCATAGAATATTGTGAGTGCCGGTTTGGTGTAGTGGTTAAAGAGCGGCGGACTCTAATTTGGGAGAACCGGGTTTGATTCCCCACTACTCCTTATGCAGCCAGCTGGGTGACCATAGGCCAGTCACAGTTCTCTCAGAGCTGTCCCCTCCTGAGCAGTTCTCGAAAGAGCTCTCTCAGCCCCACCTACCTCACAGGGTGTCTGTTGTGGGGAGGGGGAGGGAAAGGAGATTGTAAGCCATGCTGAGATTCCGAGTGAAGGGCGGGGTATAAATCCAACTCCTACTTCTCCTCCTCTCTTCTCCCCCCCCCCCCCCCCCCCGGGCGGTA